GTGAATGGGTGGTTTTTATTGTTAAATGAGCACATAATCGATCACACAAAGCGCGCACATGTGCTGTACAGGCATAACCAAAACGGCACACGACAAGCCGCTGCATGAAACCCAAGTCGTGAGCGCGCGTGCGTTTCCAGTTTGTATAGTTGGAGATTAATCGGTTGTTTTATTTATCGCGACAAGGCCGATTAGGCTCGTCAACTGGTGTGTGTAATTTTTTTATAAAATCGACGCTATATACTCGTGAACGCATTACAACCGTGTTTTACATACCATGCGTGCTGGCATTAAAAAGCCGATTAATCAATCAATCAATGAACGATTTTACAATGAACACAACGTGTTTACAGCGTGCATTTGAATGGAACAGATTTATTCTTATTTATTATAACCTAGTGATTTATTTCGGCGTGTGCGAACGTTGCACGCTAATCCTAATAAATTATCCCAATTTGCATTACAATTTCCGAACATAAATTTTTATAATGAGTTACGTTATAGTTATATCAATTTTGAATAAAAACGGATTCTGTGTACAATTTTGATTCTATCTATAAACAACATCTCTTGAATAATAACTCCAAATGTAAAAAGTTCAATAAATTGGTTTAAGCGTGAATTTACTTCCAAATTTTATGTAAATGTTGCTTTAAAAATATAATTCCCACAGATAAAGTATCGCCAAAATTTGCATAAAATTCACCGTTTACAACTTTAGCATAACTAGGCCGTTTGGAAACTATTCGCGCGCTGGTTAAAATTGTTGAACGCATAATTGAAAAAGTTATAACTAAAAATATTCAACCTGTCAGTAGGTGTGCATCCCGTGTATGGATCTAGGCCGTTCGCGGTTTATTCCGTCAGGGTGTGTTGTGTGCTGGAACGCTATACCTCGCTGTCGCGCTGCTTTTCTGCCCGGTTGCACGGTATTGAATTACATGGCGATGCATCACATAACCTTGTGTACGGTGTGCCGTGGTGTGTGCACCACAGGCAACACGGCTAGTATGATTACGTGGTTTATAAATACATCCGTCTATTTTGATATTGTTTAGCACGTTACTGTAATAAGCAATTAGCGTTATCGAAGATTTTGCATCATCTATCGATCTTGTTACCTGGAAGTGAAGTTATACAAGTTATACGATTTCATTTAAAAATTTATCTGCAAATGTCGACATAATTTTTGTAACATCAGTTAGCGCGCTATAATTAGTTAGGATAATCTATAATATCAAAATGAATCGCAAAATCTGTTGGTAAGCGCATAACTCAACAACGCCTAGATCAATATGGCCAATTCTTTTTGAAAATGTTCGTTGAAGTACTAGAATGGTTTTTACGGTGAGAAAAATTCGAATAATTGCCGGGAAAACCCTAAAAACAGCCCTTTTCTATAGGATAAAAGTTGGCATTGAGATTCTTAGTTATAGTTAAATAATTCAATCCGAGGTGGCGCGGAAGTGCATTATCAGCAATTCTTTATATAATGAATTTCTTTAAAATAAAATTGCGAATCTTATTGCTAGAATTGATACATGCTATGTCTAGAACAAGAGAGTATAACATTACATTTTTATTAAACACTACCGAATCGAAGTCGCGGGGAAAAACTACTTTTTTAAATGTTCGCAGGAAAGGCTAGTAATATAATAATCTCATCACATGTCGGTTGTATCCTTCCCCATAATCCAAAATTAGTAACTTTATCTAATTACAACCGGCCTATTATCCTTTAAACCTTTAATATTAACATGAATGTATAGAGATAAATTGGCATTACACCAATGACAACATTAAAACAACCAACAACACAATACTAGGCCACGGCGTACAACTGGCCCCGAAATAAACACCAAAACTACACGGATCATTGTAAAGCAACAAGCTGAAAACTACATCGCTGGGAATATCGCGCCAGCCATTCGCGCATGTTACTAAACTCGAACAGATCCTAACAACAGTATATGGTCCTTACGTACGTTACTTATTGTTAGTAACTGTTAGTCGGTTTAAGGGGAGTAGGCGCCTAGGCTAACGCCGACATAATCGTCTAACTGCGTTTAATGGTCGTACTAGAACTGCGAAGCGGAAACCCCGCACGCAACTTGGTCTCACTACGTACGGGCAACAACTTCCAGTAGAGGCACCGTTTTAGATAACCGCGGATAACTTAGGATGGCGTAATGAATGCGTAAAGATGCGTAGAGGTCCCGACTGTGCTGAAATTCATATTCTTAAACGCGTGTACTTGCGTATCCCCACCGAATAAATTAGCGATTTAGGGGGCGCACGATACCCGCAGAGCATCCCACAACTATAATTTATTTTCAATTAGAGAGTGTTTGCGTACGTATTGATTAATTAATTTATTCGCGTACATGTGTAAAATTATTTATGATATAATATCTTGGTATTAATTAATTAATTCATAATATTACGATTTAATGACATGTGCGAGAATTAATTAAAGTAAATATGACGGTGTAAAATTGTGCAATGAATTTACAACGAGCAAACGACTGCCTATGACGGCACATTAATAAATGAATAATTAACCACTTTATAATTACGAACGGACTTTGTTTGTTGTTTTGGTAACATTATCATTCAGTCATAATTATTACAAAGTGAGCGCCAGTGCCATTTTGGTAATATCCACTTGGGAAAGTATAAAATAGTAGAAAACATGAAAAACAATATTTAATATTAGCCATTAAACTATTTAAGTGCTTCTCATATAAATGTTTTATAGTTTTAAGTATGATAGGACAACATTCGAGGACGCATTTCGAAATGCGGTCCTATATTAGATAGAACTTGTATAGTTGATCAAGTTGATTGAAATGCACGATGCGTACGTGGTGCGACATTAATAATATATTGACAAACTCGCGATTGGCATATCCACGGTCGCAAAGCACGTGCACGAATGGAACTTCAATATACAAACATCGAATTTAGGGAACAAACGCGCTTGAAATACAAATTTTGGTTTGCATCGTGATGGAACTATCTGATAAACGCCAACCAACTTCATGAAAGACTAGAGTAAACTTTACAGTTGATATTAAAACAAAGTTGACAAACAAACAATTAAGAAGTGGGTAATTAATGTTTGTCGTTAATCAATATTAATTGAAAAGAAAATAGTGTATTAATGTTCCTAAGATGATAAAAACGTTTAATTAATGGAAAACCATCGACTATGCTGTTCTGTAGTTTGGAAAATTGCTGCAAATTGAAATTGGAAAGGAATGCCAACGTTTTAATTGAAAATTGAATCCACTAAAAAGTGAATGAATAAAATTCAGTTTGACCTACATTTCTGCGATAATATCCGCCTGGACTTCTAAAAATTTTGACTTGAAATATTTAATTATTAATACAAGATACAAATAGGAGTTTATATTTAAAATGTACGTCTCAAAATATATTTATTTCGCATAGCAGTTTGTCGCCGAAGTTCTCAAATACGTTTCAATATATAACCATAGATACAAGTTCCGCCACTCAATGCATTCAATATGCTTTCTACGTCTCTTCGTTTCCTCGTTTTCCGTTCCTCAGTATTCGCCTGTTGTGCGCTGGTACTCGCGAACGATTCGATACTTCTCCGCGTGCGCTTCGATATTCGATAAATTGGAATATTTTATATGCAATATATTTGCGCGTCGAGATTGTGGCGTGCGCTCACCCACACACACACACACACACATGTATGAAGAATGAACTTCCACGCTAAACGAAGAAAAGCAACGCGCACGCCGTCATTCGTTCCGATCGGTTCCAATCGGCGGCGAATGGCGTTTTGTATATTATATATTCGCGAGCGATATCGGTGCCGTTCTCGTCTCTTGCGATGCACGCGAACGTGCAGCCCGATGGAGCTAATGCCGATTGGTACATACTACATACATTCAACGCCGATGCAAGGACGAGGATGGCAATATTGTGAAGAAGTGAATTTTTCGCAAGTTAACGCGAGACTAAGCAAGAAGAAAAAGCAAAGAAGCTATTGCGAAACAATTCCTTGTTCGTTCGATTTCCATGTTAAACAATTTTCAATGTATCGAACAGCGGTGGGTATTTCAGGTGGAAGGTGAACAATTCTACGGGTTCCTTATGAAATGCACATTTGAGATCGATAAATGTTCGAAATGAAAGAAACGAATTGCGTGCAATTTTTTTTTTATTTTCTTTAAAATGACCTTTTAAATATTTTATCTGAAACATTTTATTTTCTGTTTAACTTTTAAATGTTTATTCGAAAAGATGATCTTGTTTATTTTAAGACGTCGTTACGGATCTGGTGGAGGCGCCGGGTTTTATTCTCCAATTTCCCGTTTTAGTTAACTCCTGGGGTTAGGAAATAAAACTTAACTTGGATATGATATTCGGAACATGTAGGGAAAATACTATCGCTAAAATAAAAGCGTCGTCTCAGCCGCCTCAAGAAAAACGCTTTATCTCAAAACCTCATCATTTAGCAGCACAAAAAAGACAATATCTCAAGAGAATAGTCATGTTGTTGAATATAAAAAAAATTAAAGCAGAAGTTTAGAGCATTTAGTGTTACTTATTAGTGAATATTTGCATATACGAGTACACCCCAATTGTTTGTTTACTTACAGCGCCAAACATTCAATAGCTCAATGGTGGAGTATTTACAGGATTAAGACTAAATTGCACGGGGACCAATTGACCAGCAAACCCGACCAACAATCGACCACTGAATAGACATCCCCAAATTGAAGCCAATCCAATATCAAATTGATAATAGAGCATGCGGCGCGCGTTATAATGGGATAACGTCCGACGATCCCAACACACAACCGTCCAGAGGATCATAATTAATTTATGCGATTAAAATGGTGTAATTTACGCATCAGGCTAAAGATATCCATCTATTGTGTGCCCAGCCGTGCGTTCAACGCGCGTTCAATTCTCAACTAATGGAAGCAATTGGTTGCGACATTTGCAATAAAACGACTTACCCAGTTCTAATTGAAGAGATTCCTCGCTTGTTAAGAGCACAATAAACAGACATATCAGCAAGTGCACGAGCGAGGTGGAGAGGTGTTTCCTTGGCGCCGAAGTGGATAATAATAAAATCGTCGACGCCATCGTGGACATTACGGGCGTGCACTTCTTACACTTCGCTATCGATCAAATCCTCATTTTAGCACTTCATTAAATCCGCTACACGTCGTCGCTGTAACATTACCGCCTTGTTCTTTTATATAGCACACGTCACCACTCACGATCTCGCAAATACTCATCGTTTACAGTTACGACTTCATCGTGGATTCTGGAACAAAAACGTAGATATTAATTAAAATATATTATCACTAGATTTATCATATAAAAAAAAATATTTTTAGCAAAAAGTTGTAAAAATGTGCAAACAAAACAAATAAATAATTTGATGCATTGGTAGTCAACTTTGATAACCATCTGATAAAAATATCTAGCCCCTCTGAATTAAAATAAAAATAGAATAATGATTCTGTGATGTTTCAATTTGTACATATTTATTTTATATGCAAATATCGCGAATTAAATCCAACCGAAAATGAATTTAATCTATTTTCATTAACGGCATCGAATAACATTCATGGTAAAAACCGATATAAAAACGCGGTAGACTAAATAGAAACGTTGGGATTTATTAGTTAATTGGAAAATTGTACATCCTCCCTTTAGTTACAGTAGTAGATATGTCCAATTAAAATACACCAACGGTTCAACTTTCCGATTGTTTTGTGTGTCTGTTTACAGTTGGCAGACTGCCGGAGTTTAATATGTTTTTGTAGTTTATTTTACGTTATTTATCAAATCATTGTGCAAAGTTTTCGATTCTATTGTCTCTATTTTTAGGATAAATATGAAAAAAAAATTGCAGTGAAAAAAGTGTGAATATTTATGATGCATTTTTTGGTCGGTGCATTTTGGGAAAAGATAAACCGATGCGTCCACTTTGGATCAAACCGCAAAGTTTATGTAGTCAACTTTTTCATTTCCACCTGCAGTTTGGGGTAAAGTCGCAAATTGTAACACTTGCATTAAAATTCCTAAAATACAGTATGTTCAAAACCCAATTAATAAATTAATTTAATAAATTTTGTATTATTACTAACCCAAATGAGTTTATCCGTCAAAATAATTATTCTAGTTTTTATTGAATATCATTTTTGGGCATACTGTATGTAATTTGCTTGGTTTTGGTATTTACTAACCCAAACGGCATAGCGACCAAAGCTCAAAATGCAACAAACCGATACGAAACAGTTTGCAGGGTGCACGCAGGGCAGAAACGTAGATAGATAGCTGAAATTATTGAGCGGATTGTTGCTGGTTGCAATAACTACTCATATTGTATACCCTCTGCGCCCGAGCTGCGTATAGATATGAATGTTATACAACACGAGCGAAATAAATTGGATTCGGCCAAATGGACTTCGCGCATAGGCACGCTCGTTTGCGCGAAATACGTCCGAGCTTGCAGTTGTCCAGATGCACGGCGTGGAACTTTGTAACCGCGTTGCTTCGTTTCCAATCCATGGTCGTGTTCACGTTCCACATTGGGTTATAGCCGACGAGTAACAAAAAAAAAACGAAACAGAAATAAAAAAAAACGCACTCCTAGAGTCAGCAACGTACAGGAATGGAATGGAAAAAGGGTTTTTAGTTGTACGCCCTTTGGGCTTTATACAATTTTTCACATTTACTATTCTTTTTGGGCCCGCGCTCAACTCCATCAACTAGTAGTGCATGTTCAAAGTTTTCTCATTCGAAGTGAATCGCCGCGTATACTTCGGTTGATCATGTTGCGAATATTTAACTGATATTGACGGTAGACTAGTTTATAGCAACGCAACAGTGCAAAAGAATATAATATTTGATGCTTTATTGTTTTTGACAATTCTCTGTCGCTGCCTATTGAAATTTCAGAAAACTAATATAGAATACAAAGTGTGTTTGACATAATATAAGAAATATTACTCCCATTTAAACACAAATCTTTCAGAAAACCCACAATATCTTTATGTAATTCAGCACAATTTCCCTGAGTTAATGCCACCCGTATTTCGAAAGTGTTCCACAAAGTACGCATTACACATTAATGCTTCATATGCACTTCGCCTATTATTTACACTCTCGACACTTAATTTTGCGCGTCGCGCAGTTGCATGCGAACAAACAATTTTGCGCGCATTTAATGCATCGCATTTCCAACAGTTTGCCAAACTTAAATCTAGGCAAAAATACGAGTATATCCCCATTTCAATGTATTTCATTGTGCCTGAAACAAATGACGCGGCTATCAAAAAACGTTCTTCATACATTCTCTTTATTAAAAAATGTATTTTCAGTTCTGCCTTTAGATGCCTCTGATAAAAAACTGTATACAGATATGTGTGTACATAAGAAGTGAATTACCTACGTTTTCGCTTAAATTACTTGAAGTAATTAATTAGTTAATTAATAAACTTCTTGTGTGTAATTAAGAAGACATTTCAAAAGCGATACAAACACAAAAGCCGCCTTCACACACGACAAGAGAAAAAATTAATTAAGAAAAGCCTTTTTGTACGACTTATGGCAAACCCTAAATTAACTTAGATTAATCGCTGAGGCGATAAAGTACAAAATTTGTTTTTGTAATGTTTTCTTCTTCTTAATTTACGGAACTAATACTTAAATCCATGTTCAGGTGGGTTTATGATGAAGGTAATAACTATTTTTATAATATTAGCGCGGTGCGTTGAATGTAAACTTTTATTGTTACTATAACTACGATTAGGTAAAGTTATTGGTCCACAAAAGGCGAGCGTAATGAGAGAGCGGAAACTGCAGCCAAAATAGTAGGTATTCAAAAATGTTATGAGCAAACCGAACATGTGTGCATTTCATTTTATTGTTGTTTTAATATTTAACATAATCGTATACATTGCTGTTTCCGAGTCGTTTCCTTTTTCGTCTTATTTATGGACGTCATTCAGTATGAAACACCCTCGTTTACAAACAAGCGTTCTTCCACTTTGTAACACGACGATATGTAAAATCATATTTCTTATAAATTTTCACAAGATTTGTAATCCTGAAAAAAAAGTTTATTGAAAGTATTTTCAGTTGTTATTTGTTGTGGTTTGTTTTTTCCGCTTCAAATTAAAGTTATGTGGTTGTTTTTAATTTGAAATTAAATTGTGTGGAAAAGCATCAAAACATTCCAAACGATATTGCAGTAGAGCCTTGAACTAAAATGAGACAATTATTTTTGCCACTGCTAATACAATAATTTATTATTTTTGTAAACGAGGAAACTTGTAGAAGCGAAAGTGTGAAAATTTTGAAGTGGAAAAAAGTTATTTCTTACTTGGGCCGAGAATACTTGCATTGAATGAATGAAGTTTAAAGAGTAAAGTTAAAATCGCAATCGATAGTAAAGTGTTCGAAGTTTGAGTTTGAAAGCGCTGGAAGCCTTCCAAAGGTTTCATCTCGCCTGCCCGCTCGACGGTTACTTAATTCGAGCTTCCTTAATTGTTTAATTATCATTACGATCGTTTCGAGCCAAGGTATTCCTGAGTGTTAGATAATAATCAGTTTAGCAAATGGAAATTGCCAGAGGAAAAATAAATTCAATAAAATTGAAAAAGTAGAATTTATTTGATTCGGGTAAAACTATACTTTTATCAGGCGTATACTGTTTTTCAATACAATAATCCAGTATTATGACCAGCAATACCTAATATTATTAATGTTTTATATTAACGTGGAATAAATGATTTATTTTTTGATATAAAAATTCAAAAAAGAATTTATTTCAGTAGATATACAACATCCATTCCACAAAACAAAAATATCTATTCTATATTTATAAGTGCATACTGATATTACAACCCTAAAAACCAACATACGTTCTGTTTATGACTCATTTCATTTTCAGTTTTAATAAAGTCTTTGTTTTGCCAATTTCCACTCTAGCCTCAAAAGATATTCAACCATATTTAACACTCTGGAATACGAAAGTTATACATTGTGCACATATACATACTTATACACCCAAGCAATATCTACAATTTTAAGGAGTGCATTTTTCATACAGAGCGTTCTGAATTACGACCTCTTTCACGCTTATAGCAAAGTAAATTTTAGAACAGCGCATGAAATGTACATACCTACAATATACACAACACACAACACCTAAAACACCTCCACGAAATTTACTAGTTTAATATTTTCACTGGAAAGCAAATGCCGAAAACTGTGCCCTATTGAAAAAGTTGTGGGTATTCTATTTTTTATTTTCTTTTATTATGCTTTTCGAGACGGAAAGTTTCACTCCGACCCTCCGTGCGGATTCAATTCAAGTCTTTCGCAAGCGATGCCAGGCGTACACATCTTTTCAGATTTCGAGACGAGACGCTGAGAATCGTCGCACGTGACAAGAAAACTAGAAAATTATTACGTTTTAAATAAGTGAAGGAAAAAAAGTAACTTTTGTCACACGACACCAAAGTTGGTGTAATATCAACGTTGATGATACTGATTTAACTTTAAACCAACAAATTCTACTTTCTCCGGCTTGAGACCTAATTTGGTAACTGGACATCGAAATGAAGTACACAAGGAAAACGAAAATAATGATGTTCAGAAGTTTTTGGAAACTTTACTAAATTTAATTGCAATTAAAATACTCAAACAGTCTTTTTGAATTTATCGCTTTTCAATTACTTTTTCATCATTATTTAAAAATTTCATTATTAATATTTATTATTTATTTAAAGAAAACGAACGGCGTGCGTTTAATTATTTATTAAACCAATATAATTAATGATACGTCACACTCTATGGCACGGAACTGTTCCAATCCAAATTCGTGTGCTTTTTCATTCAAATCGTTAACCTACATTCAAACGCTAAAGCCAGCGCCATTGTGTGGCCCAAAATGAGAAAAAATAAATGTAGTCTAATAATGAATTAAAGGGTAACGAAAAAAAAGGACGGCGGGTGTGTAAATCGAAAGGCAAAACGTTCCACGTGAGCTAAAGTCAAAAAGGGTCCAGTTAAAGAAATGAGACAAAACCAACAATCCTAAGTGAATCCCGGAGAGTAAAAAATTGAAATAAAGAAATCGATTCTTTGCCCGTCGGATTTTCCAACTAGGTTAATGAATGTCCAGGCCCACAATAGAGAACTTTCTAAATCTGAGAGTATGGTAATTTATTTGCATACGCGTTCTAACAAATAAATTTTATAAATTATGTTGATAGATTAATCGAAATAGAAATTTATCCGAGTTGAGTT